TTATTATTATTATTACCTTTGAAAGACTCATAAATATTCTCACTCAGATTCTTGTATTGAAATTCTGCAAACCAAAATATGCCAGAGCATATTTAAACCCATGAAGCTTGTCTTTCCTGGTACCTGCGTCTATAGATACACACCGTGAATGCAGCGTCAAGGCTCTATAAATATGCCGTTACCTGCAGAAGGACCAACGCAGCAGCACGGTGCTTACCAAGGGTGGCTGTCTGGAGAACTTCGCCTCTTCTGTGCAACTGAGCAAAGGGAAGGTTGTGTGACAAGATGATCTACCCCCCCAAACATGATGGCAAATGAGCTAATAGCATCACCAATAGAGTAACGAACTGAATTAAAAGTTCCTGTTATTATCACATCATTCTGAGCTGTCTCTGGAGGGCTGAGAAGGACTCCTGGTGACACAAAGGAGAGATATTATTCAGGGCCTAATTATAACCAACACGCGTAGATTTTCCATGGCAGCCTTGGCCCAGTCAGAAAGCCCAACATGGTATAGTATAACAAAGAAACAGACCATAAGCATTTCCACTTAAGCCCTCTGACTCACAGGCGTCTCTTGACAATGGACATTCATAAATAATTTCTTCCCATGGTGCTTGCTCCAAGACCTGCTGCTTCGCATGCTTTCCCTGTCTCCTTTGGAACAGGTTGCACCCATTGGGAGTAATCAAATAAGCATGGGCAGAGGAGAGGGTGTTTGTCTTTGCAAGACAGGTGTTGGGCAAGTAACAGAGCTTGAACCATCCTCAAGTGAACAACCACCCAAGGTCCAGGCTTGGTCTTCAGCTCTGAGTCCCAACTCATGAGGTAATCACAGCCTTATGGAAGAGGACAAATGCCCTTCCCAACACCACTCAGGACCTCCAAGGGATGGCAATGAGCGGGACAAGTGCCAGAGAGTTCCACGGATCAGGTGTCACTGACGGACATGGGGACTGAGTCACTGACAGGAAAGATGGTGAGTTAAAGGAGAGGTCCAGAAAAGGGAAACCAGCAAACCAAATTAAAGCTGAGAGTCTTCAAGACAGGTATGAAACACAGACCTTTCCTTCTCTTTTGGATTTCTAATTTATTTTGCTGCCGGTCAAAAATATCTACTTTGCCACAGTGGTAAAGCCTTTTACATCTCAGAGGTAATTTACAGGTGCTGCCTGGGTTGCAAACTGCCTGCTGTAACCAAATGGGAGAACAGCTTGAAAATGTAGAGCTTCCTTTGTGAAAATATGCATGTCAAATTTTTGTCACCATTCTGAAGAACTTGATCTGACCTCCACCAGCTTTGAGGAACCTTCTGAAGGCAAGTCCATCCACCCAGCCACAGCAAACCCTGGACCTGGTAGAGTTCTGGGAGCGCACAAAGACTATAGGCTGTCCAGCAACATGTTGGGAAAAGGCTGAAGAAGCCTGGCAAGAAAAAGGCTGCTGGTACAGCAAAGCTGAGATGGACTGTTATTAGAGTTGGAGAAGGTCCCCAAGGGATCCAAGGCAGCCTGACACACTCAGCTTGCATTGAGGAGTTTCCTCTACTTCTGCTTAAATGGCATGTGTGTGCCAGTTCAAGTAAACCCCGTGGTGAGTATAAAGGAGGATAAATGGGGCTTTAGCAGTCCCTGATCCAGAGGATGGTAACGGATCTGTTTGTTAGATTACTATAAAACCAGGACAGATGGGAGCTTTAGAGATCTCGTTCATCCCAGCTGCCCCACAACCAGCCAGTTCTACATCATCCATCCCCGACTGACGCCTGTTTACTGCCCTTCCTAAATGCCCCCGCGGTGAAACTCTCTCCTCAGATCATCTATTTCAGTGCTTAACCCCCTGTACAGCTGGAGGGCTTTTGTTCGTGTCTAATCACACTCTTTGCAGCAGTTTGGTGGCAGAAGTTTCGTTCACTCTCCCACACCAATTCGCAAGTGCATTGCCTGTCTCCTTGCAGGCATGCCCACCTCAGTGAGAAACATAAGCACCCACCTTTGACGGTGACGAGCACGGAGCTGTATGTCTCGCCTGCCAGGTTGGAGGCCGTGCAAGTGTACAGCCCGTTGTCTATCTGCTTGCAGAAGAGGATCTTCAGCACAAAGTTCTCCTGATCATCCTCATAGATGACATGTCGCCGTCCTTCCAAAATGACCTCGTTGTCCTTCTTCCACACGATCTCTGGCTTGGGCTCGCCCGTCACGTAGCAGCTCAGCTTGGCGTGCTTCCCCTCCGTCACGCTGCACATGCGTGTCAGCGCCCCAAAAGTTGCATTGCGGGCCCCTTTGGTGGTAAGTCCAGCCACCCTCTCATAATCCCGGGAGCGGGCGTAGCCGATGCCAGACAACCCTTCTGCTGTGGAGTAAGACTGGGTAGATGATGAATCAAGAGCGCCATAGGAGATGTCCATCTTCCTGATCTCCTCCCGCCTCTTTTGCAAGTGAGACAACAAGGATGCCGTCTTGCCACAGCTGGTATCGAAGTGGCTGCTGCTGCCCGGGTTGGAAGAGCCCTGCGTTTCCACCACCAGTGCGGCTGAAGCGCTGGCAGAGCCGATGGGATTCTCTGCCCGGCAGGTGTAGGTGCCGCTGTCCCCCAGCCGGGCACACTGGATGGTGAGAGCATTCGACTCCCCGGCAGACTCTATTTGGAAGCGGCCGGCATCAGCCCGGTTCCGCAGGTGTCTCCCATCCTTCTCCCAGTTCACCGAGAGGGGGGGGCTACCTTGGACTTTGCATTTGAACATGGCATCTTCTCCCAATGTTACTTTGATGGAGGAGGGTTTCTGGATGAAGTATGGGGCTGACTCCGTTACTGTGGTCTCCTCTCCAACTTTGATGCTGACCGCTGCAAAAGCTTCCCCGATGGTGTTCTTGGCCCGGCAGATGTATTGGCCACTGTCCTCCAGGCTCAGATCATAGATTGTTAGCCGATAGAGATCCCCATCTTCTGTGGTTTTAAACCTTCCGCCAGACTGGACTGGAAGTTTATCTTTTTCCCAGCTCACAACTGGGATGGGGTTTCCAATGATCTGGCAGCTCAAGGTGGCATCCTTCCCCACAGACACCATAAATGCCTTAGGACGGGTCAAGAACCGGGGGACTCCACTGAACGAGCTGTAATCCATCTTGGTTTCCTAAAGGGTGAGGAAAAAAAAAATTGTCAAGAGAGAGCAGATTAGATGGTGCAGGCAAAGAATTGCTGCACTTCCATGGTATCAGGACATTTGTCATCTAGAACAGTTTAGTTGGGGCACGTTTTCATTGTCCTTATCATGATGGGGGAGAAGGCCTTGGAAATCTTTCTTAGATTTGAGCTCAATAAGCTGCTGACGGAGAAGGTAGTTCGCTTCCCCACAGGAGTCACTGGGTGAAATACAAGTCTTCGGGCAGTTCGTACAGAAAGAACATGATGGTCCCTTTCAGCTTTGGCACTAGGCAAGTGACCTGCACTAACGCTATATAACACGTGGGCTAGTTCTGAGGCTACAGAGAAACAAATGGACATTAAATTCTGAGAGATGTGTCTACCCATCAAGATACCTTGTCCATCATGCTCATCTCCATTTTCATTTTCATCTCTCTTTTTCTATCTCATTGCCCTTGCTCTTTTTAATTTTTTTAATGTCTCCTTGCCCCTTTTTTTTTGGCCTTATTTTTGCTTCTTTTTATTTATTTATTTATTTATTTTTAATTCTGCTTTTACAACATGCTCCATCTCTCTTCTTGCCCCTCTCTGGTCATTACCCATCCCTTCATCTTGTTCTCTGAACCACATTCACACAGACCTTATGGCAAACCCCTCTCCTGTGGGGGCCAGCCTTTAGGAGGACACAGAGGTATGCCTGTCATATTACTGACAATATTTCTCTTTATTATTTTCAGCTTCCATTCAACACAACCACTGAGATACAGCTACTTCGGTGGCAATGGCAGCCAACGAGTATCTATGGCTTCTATACAGCCTTATCTGGATGGTGTAGGGCCAGACACAGCTGCAGTGAGGATGGGTGTCTGTGCACATCTATGGCTTGGTGTACACACATCACATATACACAGGAGCGTAAAGCCACGTGACGGAACCACCATGGGGAATGCACGCAGCAATCCAGACGGTGCCAGACTTCTCCAAAAAAAAACCCCACGTGGCTTAGGGCTTACAGGAAAGATGTCTCATCGCCCACGTATTCTCAGCTGCTCTCAGAGGGAGCTGTGCACCAGCCTGCAGCTGTTTGACGACACAGACCAGCCAAGGGGTCGGGGCTTACGCAGTATTCAAAACTAAAGCTCATGGCAATACTGGTGCCACTGTGTCCCGAGAAAGTCAAAAGCAATCAGTGACACTAACCTTTGGAGCCATGTTCACTCACACACAGAGCCTACCCATCCCTGTGCAGCTGGAGAGCAATGCAACAGAGACCACCACCTTCAGGGTCCCCCTAAAGTCCACATAACACAAAAACTTTTCTTGCTTCTTCACTGGTCCTTACATGAACTCCTGGATGTCCTTTCCCTTCTCCTAGATTGAGTCTACTTCTAATCCTCCAAGAAGCCCTTTTCCATGCATTGGCTAGCATTTACTTTGATAAGTATAGCACAGCTAAAAGCCTGGTCTTGACCCCATTAGCACCAGTAACCCTTCACCAGCTGACACTCCCTGGGAGCAGGATTGGATCTGACAATTGTGCTCTGTAAGCAAACCAAGCTCTGAGCCTCTTTGGAAGTCCTACTCAGAAGAGTCGAACGCACCATTTCTCTCCAAGCTACTCCATCTCTTTGGCCCCATGGTGCCAGGCACTCCTGTCTTAGCAAGCTCATACAGCTCCTGTCTGAGCTATATACACGGTCTCTGCTCAGGGGCAATTGCAGTGCTGCTCTCACATCTGTGCTTTTTCACCTTCAAAGTGCCACACAAAGCAAAACGACCAGGGCACCGTGTGTTGTAACTCAGAAAGGAAATAATAACCAGTCACCGCGACAGAAATATCCTTCTTAATCCTACAGCAGTTTGGCTTCCCCGCTGGCCACACATCCACCCACTCTCTCACCCAATGGCAGATGCTCTCACAATCTCCCCCCGCACCACCACCTCCAGCAGAAATCACTAGAAGCAGGCCAAAAACCTGCTTTCATTTCTTGAGTCACCATTTGGGCAGAGGTTTCATTATTTTTTCCATCCTCCTCCAGCTCCTGTTGCAGTGCATTAACGTTAACGTGCAAATCACTGGTGGCACCAGGGAGCGGGCGTTGGATCGACCTGCTGCATGACCTTGGGGAAATTGCTTATTTTCCCTGTGTCTCCCATTTCTTCTTCATATCAAGACGGGCATGGTCTCACAAATAATTATGTACACAGTGTTTATATGACAATGCACTTGCTGGAGTATATGACAAATCGTACATAGAAATTAATAACAGATTACAATTTTTCATTCTATTTACTCTGCTGGGGATTGAAAGACACAAATCGACATTAAAACTAAATACTGGGGAAGTGGTGGCACAAAAATACAAAATGGTATTCATTAAAATCATTATTACCATTGAAGACGGTATAGCTGAGCTGACCTTTAAACTTCATTTGGGTCACAGATGTAAGGCAGAAAGAAACATAGTCTTCTTTCTATATTTTACAGGAAAAATACACTACATCTTATCCTATCGTGTCTCTCTCCCTCCAAAGAACATACAAAACTCTTCTGAAGCAAAGACTTTTTCCTTTAGAGGAAATTGATCCTTTCTAAATTAATTCAACTTTGGCTGCTTTTGTTTCCTAGTATCAAGCAAATTTCATTATTCCACGAAAAATCTATAGAAATTAAAGAAAATGCTTTCAAAACTTAAACTTGAAAAAAATGTTCTAGTGTTCTTAGTAAACACTAAGAGGTCGAAGAATGATTGCCTTGCAGTCATTAGCGCTAAGACAAACTGACTTTCTGTAGAGTGGTCACCTTCATTACTAGTTGCAATGAATATACAGAACTATTTTTTCCCTTGGTCTCAAACTGGTCTAGAAATCTGTGAACTAGTTTGCACTTCTTGGTCTCTCTTACTACCTTCAACCTCTGTCCTCACTTGAGCTTTAAAATGTATTTTCCATAAACACTTGCAAAGCTGCAAGCAGAGAAGCTGCATGAATGGTTAGAAGATGCAGATACAAGCCTTGGGCTTGAGCCAAAGTACACTGAAGTCAGTGGAAATTTCCGCTCAAGTCAACTGATTGACAATCAGAGTCTTCTGCTAATTTGGGGAAGGACCATGTCAATGTTCAGGGGGGGATTCTGGGATTCAAGTTCATCCCTGGAGAATCCAGCAGTAACATTCACTACATTAACTTAGAATTAACAATCAAAACACAGACCCATAGCTCATGTCCTGACATTCCCAGTCATCAGCCCGAGTTTCAGGCTGCACTGTGTCATCAAAGCACTTGGATCCATCTTCAGAAGACATTGCCATGTCTCATCCTTCCCAGCTGCCTAGCTGTTTCTGACAGATGTGTCACTCTGACTCACTTCCAGCTTCAAATCCATAGCATCAAAAAGAGCAAAAAAACAAAGTCACTTCACTTCCCCTTCCAAGTGGGCTCTGCACAACATGGAGAAGTGCCCAGAGCACAGAGGTGGCTACAGACACAAGAGGTGCCTGCTTGGGAGCAGCCAGTGACCTCTCAGCAAACAGTGGCTTCCTCCAAACCACCTGAGTGCAGTCTTCCTCGCCTGGTCCCCAGGAGATGTATCCACACCTGGAACAGAGCTCTGCTCTGTGGGAGCATGGTGGATGCTCTCCAAGCTTGGCTAATGCTGCTCACTTCCTAAATCTCTTGTGCATCCTCCTCCCCTGCCCTCCTGTGCTAAACAGTGCCCAAACATGCCCCAGCTGCTCACTGGTACCTCTGATATAGTCAAGAACATTTAAAACACAGGGAAGCTGCTGCATCAGGTGCCTGTTGCTCATGCTCCTGAACCAGACTGGTGCAGCAAATCCATCCAAGACTCTTCTTCCCAGTGCCCACAGCCTCAAGGTCCAGCCTCCCTCTCCCATTGCTCCAAAACGCTTGCCCGATAGTTTGCAACTCACTTCTCTCCATCAGGTACAAGTCACTGTGTCCACAGACCTCCTAGTGCAAGGTGAAGATCTCATGTCCCGTGCTATAGTCTAGACTGCACCTTGTTCTCTAGCGGCTTTCACCACGTACCCTCACACTCAACATTTCTTCTGCCATTACGAATGGCCAGGATGCCAGAGGAAGATCCAGGGATCAGTGAAAACAGTGTGTGCTCATTGGTATGATTTTAATTTCTAACATGGTAGGAGAGCAAAACAGAGTTTATTTCTTGCTCTGCCACTGGCTTACTCATATAATCATGAGAAAGTCACTCAAATTCTTGTATCTCCAGTCCCTGTCTGAAAAAAGGGGGTAAGCCCCTTGTCTTATGGGTGTTGAGAGCATGAAATCCAGTAACAGGCATGAAATCCTAACGTGCAGCAAGGATGAAGCTGCAATAGTTATCTGACACTCAGACAGATCAAACCATTTAGATAGGCTGCACTAGATAAACTACATTTTATAAGTTTAAATGGGATAAAATGCATTGCATTTGATTAGGCTGATAAATAGATCTAGGAGTTACAGAGAGAGAGATGTTGTGGACATACAGAAAGGACAAGATGTAATATTTCTACAGTGTAACTTGTAAATCAATTTATTAAACAATTACATTAATTTAGGTTCTTTATATGTATATTCAAACTTAAAAGAGGGGGGAAAAAAAAAAAAAGTAACACTCTGCAAGTGCCAGGACATCTCCCTTGGAAGTGACAGGACTGACAACAGAGCCTGAATAAACCTAGCCAATGCAAATGCCCTTTCCAATTAATCTCAGACATTTACCAGTGTCATATTTCTCCTTGTAATCCCTCTGTGATTAATCATTTGCAGCAGAGATCACATTCCCATCTGGGTATTTCTGAGCACGCTGAAGGCAAAATAGCATCACTTGTAATTTTACTTATGTCTTTATTCATTCAAATTTTCACTGGTTTATGTTTGAGGG